AATGCATCAACTTGTTTGAGTTAAGGTCTACTTATAAGAATATTTTAATTCTCCTTCATGTTCTAACAAATTGCCTAAGTAGTTTCTTATTGAGATTTAACTGCTAGCTTTCTAGACAAAATAAAGAGGTGAATTAAAAAAAAAGTAATTGTTTATGATCATGACTAATTGACTATCATGTTGATTGTAAAAACTAGGCTATTGCATCACCCCAAAAGAGAAGGGTGATAAACTACTTTTTAGACCTTATTCATTTTATCATGTAAAAGGAAAGACTAAGGAAAATTTTAATCAAAATTTTAGTTAATGATGACTTCACATATTGGTGACTCCTCTTAGCTAAGTTAATAACCACCTCAACTAAGATGACGAACTCAACGATTTTAGTTAATGGCCCCAGTTATACTATATGACTTTTGTATTTTACAATTATTAACCATTAGGTCTTGCATTGAACTTTTCTCATTTGTGTAACTTAATATGTAACTTAAAATGTAACTTTCTTTATAATGCTCAAATTATAATCACAAATTTATTATCAAGAGCTAAATTATTGCTTATAGTCGACTCTATTATAACAACTTCGCAGAGCTTTTCACTCTTGATCTTTTCTTTCTTATCCTCAATTTAGTTGAGCAATTTAATAAAATTCAAATTTATCCACAACTAAATTTGAATTCAACATGTATAGTGATGAATGATTGCAACACTAATGTGATAAGGATTACAAATTGTTCAATGCCCTAGTCTGAGTGTTTTGATGCTTCTACTTATCGAGATGTTGAAAATGACAAAATATGACTTAAAAGACCTATTGAACTTCAATTTTCAACGGTCAGAAATGTAATTAATTGGATTATTAATTGCAAAATGAATTGGTTATAAGTCTAAAAGAAGAAAAAGAAGGTTGAATGTGACTATCATTAGGCCAGAAATAAATATGTTCTTGCCCTTTTAGAAAGGGTAAGACTCAACTCAAATATCTGATCTGATTCAAACTCAAGCAATCAATTCTATTAATGAACACATCCAAAAAACTGCTTATGTGTATTACATGTCTTTATTATTAATAACACCTGAATAACACGAGGGGAATATTTCCATGTGTTACCAGGCCGATCACCTCCACGGCGTAAGTTCATTGGACTCCGCACGTAACTCTACTTGCGGAGCTCTTATGTAATATTTTTTCGACGACTTGAGGAGGATGTTGTTAAGTTTACGATACGTAGAAGAAGGTTGACTATTTTGGAAAAAAGAAGCTTGGGGTACACTAACATGAAGCATAATTGCATACTACCTAATTCTAATATATTTACATATCTAACACCTAAACTTTACTTTTTTACACTTATACCACCCAAATCTTTCATATCACATTAAAAGGTCACTATTTTAATTTTTAAAATGTAAAACACACCATTTCATGCATGGGCAAGGTGGTATGGTATGTATATAAAAATTGGTGCTTTAAGTGTAGATATGTAAATACTTAGGAAATAAGTGATATTTATATAAATCATCCAATATTTTTACTATAATTTGATAAATAAACTCGTAAGGAAATCTTTCTTGCAATATAATTTCAATCAAGCTCATTTTTGTTCATATCTCACTCTAACGAATTAGCTGCCTGAAAGTTTATGTCGTGATGTTAGGCTCCTTGAAGAATTAATTTTGTTACCTTCTTCTATCCCATCTTCTATCTCAGCATTGTTTGCCAACTTTTGTAGTTTAACTTTACAAATGTTGGTGCATTGCTTCTATCTATGATTGTGCTTTAATCACACAAGGATTAAAATCTTAGTTATTGTGACTACTGATAATTAACGTCACCTCAATCATATTTGCTACATAGTTCGGTCTGACGTTAAGGGTGTAGAAACGGGGTTGCCGGTTTGGTTTGAGTTTGACCCGAAATTGATCAAATCTGAAACAACTTGACCCGAATCAGACACAATTATTAAGCAGGTAAGAAAGTTTAGCCAGAACATGATCCTCTTCAACCCGCCAACCCGAGCACGACCCATATAACGTGTTTTACTTAAGTAATAATAGCTAATCGGGTTATAATCGAGTCAAATTCAGATTGGCGGGTCGATTTCAAGTAAATTTAGAGTGGATCGGTTTTCTGTTGTTAAGTCCATCGGAATCCAACCAAAGAAATTAAGCTGGTTGAGATTTTTGACCTGAACCCGACCCAAAATCTTTTTTGAGTCAAACTGAACCCAAATTTTTCGAGTCTGATTTGGGTCGAGTCTTTGTGTTCATATGCTGAATTATTTCATGATAGCACAACCCATAAATATTTTCTTCCACTTTTCTGCAATTATCTAGCTTTTTAGTCCAAAGTTTGATTGATTTGATGTTCTTTCCAAAAGCCTTGCTTTTGTAGATGTGTGACTCTTTGCATCCATCATAGTGAAACCTATAATAATGTAATATCTATCGTATTGCTTTTATTTAACATGTTAAAATTTTTTTGTAATACTAAGCATCCCTACCACAATAAATAACTCATAGTGATTAGTGTAGCCATGACATAATGGTTGTTGAGCAACACATAACAGATTATAATTTGTTTAGGCCTTACTGTTGGGAGCTTCTTCAATGACTTCTATAAATTATAAGCCAACCGCAACAATTAAGTTTTTTTTATTATATTTCTATTTATTTTCATTTAATGATAAAAAGGTAGGTTGAAACACCATAGTGAGTTGGTGGGAATTTTTTTTTTGTTATGAAGTTGACGTATCTATCATAGATTTTGAAAGATTTCTATATAAATGATTGAATGCGTCATTTGAAGAATAATATATTACCCTGAGAGGTATAAATATTACCTTGAAATGGATCCGATCATTCTTATGATGAAAAGCTTTAAGATTTATGGGTTTGCATTAATCAGAAATTTTTACCCCTCATTACGAGTGTAAAATAGAGTTTATTTTATATTATGAAGTCTAGTGTCTCCATAAGGGCAAACCTTCCTAGTCAATTACATCTCAAGTGTTATGAACCCTTAAGAAAATTCTCAATTAATGTATTGGCTTATATCATCCAGGATTTCAAGTTGGGCGCTTTCAAACAAAAAAATGCAAAATTTAAAGAAATTTTCAAATAAGATGGTTTCAAGGCTTGAAAAGATTTTTTTTTTTAAATTCAAACGTTGAGACTTACAGATCAATGATGATATATGATAGAAAGACTCATGTAATGAATTAACGAACTTTGGGAAAGTGTACCTTGGGGTTGAGTTTGGAAAATTATTGAAAAAAGTTAGGTTTGTATTGAAGAGTAGGATTTGAAGTTGAATTTGCGGGTTGATTTTGAAGGTTGAATTTGAGGGTTAAAATTTTTTATATATTGTTAAATATATGGAACCTGTGACTTACCTACCTCACCTACCACGTCTCTCCTACCTCTCTTCTGTCTACCTCTCTCCCACCTACCTCTCTCTCATTTTCTTAAATAGCCTCTTTTGGTATGTCATAAGTGCTAAGCCAAGTCGCCTTGAGAGCTAAGAGAGAGAAAGGAAGAGAGAAAGAGAAATGAAGTATTTTCTTGTAAACGTCGAGGAGCTCGACGATGTAATTTCTCGAAGTACTAAAATCCCCTACAGCTCCGTAGACGTAGGCAAATTTGTCGAACCACGTAAATCTGTGTGTTATTTTCTGGTTTGCAATTTTTCAATTCGGTATTTTCACTTTATTGTCGTCATTTTTTCATAACAATTGATATTAGAGCTTTGGTTCAAGGCTGAAAGAAAATGATGGGCAGAGACGAAGTGATGACATCGGGGATCGAGAAGTTCAATGACACAGATTTGTTTACCTCTATGAGAAGAAACTTCATCTTCCATTACTGGGAAAACAACCAGAAAAGATGGATGAGGCTAAATGGAATCTGTTGGATTAACAGGTTCTAGGGGTTATACGATTGACCCTATCGAGATCCATTGCCCACAACGTCATCAAGGAGATGACTACTGCAAATCTCATGACGGCTTTATCAGGTATGTATGAAAAACCATCGATGAATAACAAGGTTTACTTGATGAAAAAATTATTCAACTTGAAGAAGACAGAAGGTGTGTCAGTTGCTCAACACCTGAATGATTTCAACACTATCATAAATTAGTTATCATCTGTTAAAATTGATTTTGAGGATGAGATACGTGCACTGATATTGTTGGCTTCATTGTCAAATAGTTGGGAAGTCACGAGGATGATAATTAGCAGTTCTGCAGGTAAATCTAAACTGAAATATGATGATTCATAATTTGATTTTGGTTGAGGAGGTGCTCAGGAAAGATTCTGGTGAGACCTCGGGTTTGAGTTCGACACTGAATGTTGATTCTAGAGAGAGATCACTTGACATGAACTCAAATAGAGGAAGATCAAAATCAAAGTTTGGTCAGAAGGCAACCTGCTGGAATTATGGCAAGGTTGGCCACATAAAAAGAAACTGCAGGAATCATAAGAAGAATGAGAATGATAGGGCAAATGTGGTAACTGAAGAAATACATGATGGACTATTATTGTCAGTTCACAGTACTGTTGATGACTGGATACTGGATTTAGGGGCTCCCTTCCATACATTTTTTCACCGTGAGTTAATACAAAATTATGTTACAAATAAATTTGGGAAGATATATCTGACGGATGGAAAAGCTCTGAACATGGTGGGGATGAGAGACGTTGATATTGCACTCCCTAACAAGGGTAAATGTACTTTGTAAAAGGCTAGGCACATTCATGAGTTGAAGAAAAATCTCATTTCTGTTGGGCTGCTCAATGAGTGTGGTCATTCAGTAATGTTCTCAGATAGCACTTGAAAGGTTACCAAAGGAGCATTAGTACTATCTTGGGGAAGGATAATTGACATACTATATATGACTACAAGTTTACTTAGGCGTAGAAACATGAGTCAGAGGTACATTGTGGGGAAACAGAAGAAGGTCAGTTTCTTAAAGGTGGCGAGCGCCAAGGGGAGGAAAAATGGATCTTGTACTCACAGATGTGTGGGGACATTCTCTAGTGGCATCTCTTGGTGGTTCTAGTTGCTGTATAAAGGTAAGATTTGTTGATCTATCAGATTCCACAGTGCAGGACAATGATAAAATTAAAGAGGAGAGAGGGTCCGGGTCACTTATTCCTATTTTTTTACAGACAGATGGTAGAGAACCACAAAGTTATGAAGAAATCTTGCAAGATGAAAATTTGAGCAAGTGGGAGCTGACAGAACTTCCACCGAAGAAGAATGAATTACAGAACAAGTGGGTGTACCGGGTGAAAATTGTGCTTGATGACAGTAAGAAGTACAAGACTGGACTTGTTGAAAAGGGCTTTCAGCTGAGGCAGGATATTGCCCATGCAGTAGAAGTTGTAAGTAAATACAGAAGTAACCCAGGAAATAGCTTAGAGGTACAAGGCTATGTTGACGCTGATATGTCAACTAAGGGTGATACTTTTGAAAAACTGAAGTTATGCTTGACTTCAGTTGGTCTTTCAGCATGAAGACATGAGCCATGAGTTGTAGAGGTGGAGGAAAGTGAAGGAAAGCGGAGGATATCATGTTTGAAGAAAAAGGTCGGTGCAGCCAGCAGTGATGCAACCTGTAGGTGGTGTAGTCAGTGTCCCAGTCTCCAAGTGGGAGAATTGTTAAATATATGGAGTCTGCGACTTACCTACCTCAACTACCACTTCTCATTTACCTCTCTCCACCTACCTCTCTCCCGTTTTCTTAAATAGTCTCTTTTGGCCTGTCATAAGTGCTAAGCTAAGTCCTCTTGAGAGCTAAGAGAGAGAAAGAAAGAGAGAGAAAAAGGAAGTTTTTTCTTGTAAATGTCAAGGTGCTCGAAGGTATAATTTCTCGAAGTACTAAAATCCTCTGCAGCTCCGTGAACGTAGTCAAATTAGCCGAACCACGTAAAACTGTATGTTATTTTTTGGTTTGCAATTTTTCAATCTAGTATTTTCACTTTTTTGCCGTCATTTTTTCAAAACAATATATAGATGGAAGTGAATAGTTTAGCCATTAAGGAAAATTTTGACTCTATAAGGAAGCTAAATAGGTGAACTTACCTAAATTTGGGTATAGCGTCCTCGGTCCAGATACTAATGACATTCCATCATTGCGAGTTCATATGTTGACTATTAAAAAATTAGATACAAAGAGATCTACAATGTTACCATAGTGATGACGATTATAAATCTTCTTAACTATTAGGAAGCGTGAGGTGCCTTCATTAGTAACAGTGGGTTACTTCATCCTAAGGCGCCTACATAGTCCAAGAGGCTTATAGGCTTGGAATTTTATATGTCCTAGTCTTTAACACTAACTAAAGGAGTCTAGTAAGATAACCTATGCTTCTAGAGTAAGATTATTCTAAAGTATGTGAGATTTTGGGTTTCATTTAGAAATCAATTAAGATTCATAGTTGAACTTTCTAGGTGTGATTTTAATTGATTAAGTTGGTGTATTTTAGATTTTTTTCTTAATTTTAGTGGTTTTGATATTTTAATTTTAATTTAATTGAATATCTTAGTTTTTGGTCAACATGAGAATCAATGCAATCTAATATTAATGTGTGGCAATTGATTTTTTATCTAAGTTGATGTTCTTCCATTTAATTTACTATTATATGTTTAAAATTCATAGGATATCAAAAGAAAAGTTTCATATGTGTGCTAATTGTTTATACTTTTATGTTTAATACCTATGATTTATTCACATGATTAATATTCAAAAATTTTGTTTTACAGACAAAAGCTTCTTTTTAAAAGTTTAACACATGAGAAATATTTTCTTTTCTTTCTTTATGTAGAAACAATAAATTATCATGCAAATATGCATTTATCATGCAAAAATACTTTACTATATAATTATAGATCATGTAAATAGATTAGAAGTTCAATATGCAAGTATTTATAAATTTGTTGTAGGGTTTGCATGCTTTTTTGATAAACATACTACTTGTAAATTTCTAGATGAAAATTTGCAAAACATGTACTTTTGTGTGGACTTTACACTCACAAGCTTATAAATTTAAATATAAAAATTTTCACATTTTAAGAGAATAATTACTATTACCACAATTTTACTTAGAAATGAGATTTTAAATTTTAAGAAAATATTTGAAAAAGTAAGCTTGAAACATAAAAGTTTTTTTTTCTTCTTAAAAGTAAATTTTGTTTTGAAACATTAGGAAGGGTTTTTTTTTTTTTGAAAAAAAAGGCTTGGAAAGCTTGTTTAGGGTTTTATAGTCTCTCATGAAACATTATTAAGAAACTTTACAAACTTACAAGTTAATTTTATAAAAAAATCTTTAAGCTTACAATCATAGTCTCTCATTATTTTTTATTTGCATATATTTTTATAGGATCATGAGTTTTCAAGTTTCAACTCATACAAAGAGTTTAATCATTTGAAGCACATTTAATTAAAGTCTTTTTTGAAAATTTTAAGTTGGTTACACATTAAATAACTTTAATATTTAGAGATTAGAGCACATTAACATAATTTGCACATTAAAACACATTTAGTTGGGGTTGCTTTTAAGAGATTGAGTGGTTTCCAAATAAAGCACATTTATTTTCATGAAAATAAGTTAGCATTTTGGAGTACTTTTAATTAAAGTTGCTTTTAAAAGGTTTTAAGTCGGTTTCTAATTAAATCGTATTTAATTTCATAAAATTTTATGAAATCTTAACATTTTGAAGGACATTTAATTAAAGTTATTTTTAAAAGGATTAAAGTGGGTTTCAAATTAAATCAAGTTTAATTTAATTTAATTTAATGAAAAAAATTTAATATTTTAGAGCACATTTAATTAAGCTAGTTTTAAAAGTAATTAAATTTTATTCTAAGTTTCACTTTTCCAAGTAATTTTTAGCTTAAATTATTAAATGTGTAAATCATTAAAACTCAACATGTAAATTTTATAAGTGATCTTGTATTAGCCGTGAACTTGCAAACCCAATTTTGTTACATAAGTATCACACATTTTCACAAATATCTATAACATATACAATACAATGTGCCTAAAATATGTTTTTGAACAAACATAAAATAACATATTTCTTAACATGAATTTTAAATAACCTAACTTGGATTCTAAATTCACAGAAGACAAACATACTCATCACATGAATTTAGACAATCCTAAATATAAGTTTTATTTTCAACTTTACATGAAGCAAACATACATATTTCATGAATTTAGGTAACTTAAAAATGAGTTTTAATTTCACATAAAGTCAACATAAATATTTTATGGGCTTCGGGAACCTAAACAGGAGTTCTAATTTCATATAAAAAGTTAACATAAATATTTCATGAGTGTCAAGGGACCAAAGCATAAGTTTTAAGTTCACATAAGGTAAACATGCATATTACATGGATTTTAAATGACCTAAGCATGAATTTCAATTCCACATCAGGTGAACTTAAACATCACTCACATGAATTTCAACTCCACATAAGGCAAACATACACATCACATGGATTTTAAGTGGCCTAAGCATGAATTTCAATTCCACATAAGGCAAGTATAACACATTTGTGAATTTTAGGTAAAATGAGCATGGGTTTTACCTTCAAATAAGCCAAACATAGCACATTTATGAACTTAGGCAACCAAAAAATGAATTACAATTTTAGATGAAGCAAACCTAAGTATTTCATGAATTTAGAAAACATAAACATAGATTCCAATTTCATATGAAACCAACATAATATGTTCATGGGCTTAGGGACCAAAGCATGAGTTTTAAGTTCACATAACATAAGTATTTTGTGGGCTTCAAGGGACCAAAGTATGAGTTTTAATTCCACACAAAGAGCGAACATAAACATCACATTGGCTTTAACAAATAAATTTAAAAAAGTATTATATATTTATGCTTAACATATAAATTCATGAATTTTAAGCAACATACATGTGAAACCTTTCAATTCGATGAAGTAAACCACGTTAAAGCAAATTTAGGTTAGAAATTATATATTGCTTGAGGAAATTTCTCAATGAGTGATGCATGAAAATTTTGGCCTGGGAGGGAAAAGACGAGAGTGGGGCAAGGAGAGAAATTTTTATTTGGTGGTGGAGAAGAGGAGGAGAAGGAGAGGAAGGGAGTGGGAAGCTCTATTTGGTGATGATGAGGAGGAGGAGGAGAAGGAAATGGAGGAGTGGAGGGCTTAGTTTGGTGGTGAAGAGGATGAGGAGACAATGTTGGTGTGTGTGTAGGTGGTACTATGCCAAGGAAGGAAGAGAATGAGAGTGAGTTAGGGTTCGTGAGCTTCGTCCATGGGAAGAAGAGAGGTCGAGTGAGTTAGGGTTTATGGGTTTTGACCATGGAAAAAAGAGAGGGAGAGTAAGTTAGGGTTTTTGAGTTTCATCCACGGGAAGAAGAGAGAGTGAGTGGAGAATGGTCATTCTTGTAAAAGAATTTTACACATAATAATTTACATGGAGAAAAAAAAAATGAGTATAGCATGCTTTAGTGAAGTAGAGACCCATGATTTCCTGTGCTTAATTGAAGTGGAATCCCTTGATTTCCTTGGAGACAAAGGGGAAGAAGATGAGAGGATTTAATGGCGTGAAGAGGAGATAAGTGTGAAAATGATTTTCAGCCTAGTGAGGAGAAAGAAGATAAGAAGTGAGAGAGGTGGGAGTTCCTACCAAGTAAGGTGATGAGGAGAGAATTGAGGAGGGGGGGAGGGGGGGGGTGTTGTCGTATGCATGAGAGAGTATTTTTAAATGATCAAGTGTTAAATTTTAAAGAAGACAGGGGAAGAAGAGTTTTGGCGAAATGAAGGGAGGGAAGAAGAAAAAGAAGGAGAAATTTAAAAGAGGAAGTTAAGGCGGTTATAGGTGGTTAGAGCCTAAAAAAATTGACATTAGCTCATTTGGATAAAAAACGTTAGGGTAACATAATGATGAAGTTAATTATGTCATTGTGGTCTCTATCGCAAGAAGTTAGAAGTCAAAATGGGCCCCAGCCTAGAGAGAAAACACTTTGTGAATTTTTTATGAAAATTTTAGTATGTTTTAATTTATTGCATTTATTATTTT